GCGCAGCCTGTGCCGCGATGGACATCGTGGGGCCCTCGGGAAGCCCCGGGGCTGCACAGGGCAGCCCACCCCGAGCCCCCGGTCAGCAGCGCACCCGCTTGTTGGGGTTGCGTCCCTGGGAAGGTGGTACCGGTAGCAGTGTGGTTTGGCAGGGGCGGGGAGCAGGGCCTGTGCTGCTCCAGTGTCACCCGTTTTGGGGCTGCTTCCCACGGCTGGAGGTTCTGGTGTGTCTCTGGGAGCTGGGCTTCTTTCCATGGCCGTGTGGTGGGGCCGGGATGGGTTAAGGCCTTGGCATGTTGGGGAGGGGATCATGCCAGAGTGCCACGTGCCAGCTCCCAGCACCGCTGGCACCATGCAGCCACCCAGGGACAGGTCACATTCAGGACTGGCTTCAGCCACCCCCCAGAAACACCTGGAGCAGGGGCATCCCAGGTCATCTGCCTACAGGGCTGGATGCCTCTTGCCTTGCTGGGAGGGACCTGCACGAAGACAGCACTGGGAGCCTGCAGCCACCTCCCACAGCACTGCTGGGGCACCAGGAGGACCCCTGGGGCATGTGTTGGCTGTGATGCTGGGCCAGCTCCTGGCCTGGCATGATGAGGAGCATCCCAGATGACACAGGGTGTCATTTGCCCATAGGAGCTCTCATTTGGGATGTTACCTTTGAGGCTGCCGTGTTTAATGAGGCAGCCAGCCCTCTGAGCCCTCCGAGCTCAGACCGAGCTGCGCCCAGAGGTGCCAGGGCAGAGCCGCATGTGCCTCACACGGGTGATCCTACGACTGCCCCTCCAGAGATGTCAAGCATGGCACTGGGGTGCCCATGCTCCTGCCCCTCTGCTGAGCTGACAGGAGTTCCCCCAGCTCTGCTGTGGCATTAGCAAAGCCCCCAGAGGCAGCAGGGACTGGTATCCCCAGCTCTGCTGGCCCTGGGCTCCCCAGGGCTGGATTTGGCTCTCCAAGGAGGAGAGTCCCCGTAGGAGCTGCCTGAAATGACCCGAAGCAAAGCCCTGGGAATTTTCCCTGGGAGATAGGATTTGCCCCACAGCACCCCGGCAGCACCCTGCCTGCAGCTGTGCCGGCCCGCCTTCCAGGCACTTTTAAACAGTGTCCAGCTTTGCTGGTTTGATGTGTCTCTTATCTGCTTTTTCTGCCATGGAGAGGGGCTTTAGCCACAGTGATACGCCGTGTGAGTTAACCCTGCCTCTCCCAGGCAGCCGCTGCCCGCTGGGCCCGAGGGTGCCTGTCCAGGCAAGCTGGCCACTGTGGCAGGGGGCTGCTGAGCCCCTCAGAGCTGCTTCACCCTTCTCAGCAGAGCTGCTCCCAAATGCAAGCCTTTTTTTTTCTTTTCTAATAACACATCCTGGACAACGCTGTAATCCTGGCTCCCCAGAGCCAAAATCTGGCCTTAGTCACAGCTTCAAGCTATTTTTGCTTCTCCAAGCTAATCCGGGGTTGAGCTGTGCTGTGGTGGCCCCGCTGCACCCCCATCGTGCCAGGGCTGCCTGTGACTGACATCCCCTCCTTCCTGCAACCTCCTCTGCCCTTGCCCTGCCTGCGCTGCCCTGGCACAGCTCTGCTGCCAGTGCATGGGTGCTGTAACCTGCCACGGGCTCCCCTCCTCTGCTGTGAGAGGGGGAAGACTATGTCTCACCTCCTCCTGGTGCCTGGGCCGTGAGGGTGCAGGGGTGCTGGGCTGGGGACCTGTGGGCTGGAGACCATGCCAGGGCTGGGGACACCCTGGTCTGCCCTTGCCGGGTGGCAAACACAGCCCACGCCAGCCATGCACCCAGCTTCCTTGGCACCCTTTTAGCCCAAGGCCATCTGTCCCGCTGGTGCAGAGCCTGCAGCAAGGAGCCACTGTGGCCCTGGGGGTAGAGCCCCTGCCTGGCCCATGGCTGAGGGGTGAAAGTGGCCACTCTGCAGCTGGGCAGGGTGCTGGGCTGGCAAGGGCTCTGCTCTGCTTGGTGCCATCTCCCCACCAGTGCAGGGGTGATGCTGGGGAGGCTCCACAGTGCCATGACAGGTCAAGGATGCTGCTTTTCCCCTTCACCTCCGGCTTGTGCCGGCTTGGCATGGGCCCCCAACTCACCCCAGGCTTGTGGCTTTTCTCCTACCCTCTCGGCTGGTGCTGCCATGGTGCTGTGGTGCTGTGCCTGGGGCTGGGGGTCCCAGCACTGCAGCCTGGCACCTCTGGGCTGGCAGCACCCAGCTGGGTTTGCCTCTTCTCCCACTAAGCTGCCTGAGCCCCGGCGGGAGGTGGGAGAGGCAGATGGCGAGGGGGAGGCGTGAATGAATCGCCTTGCTCGGGATCATGCCTCTGGCGATGGGAACCAGGAGCTGGATCCGGGCTCCTCCCTCTTCCAGTGCATGGGGCTGGGCTGGACATGGCCTGGGTGGTCCTGCCCAGGATGGAGAGACCTGGCCCAGAGCCCTGACACAGAGACCTGGCTCCTCTTCCCACCGGGTCCTGATGGGGGCCGGGAGGGCTGTGCTCCCCTTCAAGCCCCCTAGGGTGGCCCTGAGCCCTCAGGGGTGGCCGCATCTCCTTTCAGACAGCAACTTCATCCTGGCCAACGCGCAGGTCCGCCGCGGCTTCCCCCTCGTCTACTGCTCCGACGGCTTCTGCGCCCTCACCGGCTTTGCCCGCACCGAGGTCATGCAGAAAAACTGCAGCTGCCGCTTCCTCTACGGGGCTGAGACCAGCGAGCCCGTCCTGCAGCGCATCGAGAAGGTGCTGGATGGAAGGCAGGAGTACCAGACCGAGGTCTGCTTCTACAAGAAGGGTGGTGAGTGGTGCACGGGGCCGGGGCCCTGCCTGCAGCCCCGGCTGGGACTTGGCCCCGGGGTGAAGCCGCTGAGCAGCGGGGGGGCTGTCCTGCCCTCCCCGCCCCTCTCCCCCATGCAGGAACCGCGTTCTGGTGCCTGCTGGACATCATGCCCATCAAGAACGAGAAGGGGGAGGTGGTGCTCTTCCTCTTCTCCTTCAAGGACATCACAGAGAGCCGGGGCAGGAGCCACCCGAGTGACAAGAAGGAGGGTGAGCCGTGGCTGTGGGATGGGGATGAGATTTGGGGAGCAGCGTGCGCAGTGGGCATGTGGCAAAGGGGCTCCCAGTTCCCTGCTGGGTCCTACCCGCCTTTGTGTACTCGTGCAAGGAGTTGGTCCCCGAAGCAGCCCCTGCTCTGTTGCACCAGCAGTGGCACAGTGATCCATCCCACTAACCCAGCGTGTCTTGTCCCTACAGAGAAGCAGAGGAGCAAGAAGCCCGGGACCTCACACCTGCGGGCAGCGCGGAGGCAGGGCCGGACGGTGCTGCACCGGCTCAGTAGCCAGTTTGCTCGGAGGGACCGCAGCGAGATGAAAATCAACCGTGTAAGGACCCGGGGGAGCCCTCAGCTGGCCTGGGGCCGCGGGCAAACTGGCGGCGCTGCTGCTCTCCCGGGACCAGCCCTGCGGCAGAGCCCGCTCTTGCTGGGATGCTCTTCCCATGCATGCACCTCACAGGCCCCCCTGGGCACCAAAATGCTGCTCTTCACCCCTGGCAGCTGCACCATGGTCCAGGCTGCAAATGTGGTTTCTTGGCAGCAGCAGAGAGACCAGCGGGTGCCTGGAGCTTGCCATGGGGAGCGCAGACCTTCTGGCAGCTCTCACAGAGCTGTGTCTCTCCTCACACATTAGCTGGGGAAAATCCAGCCGTTTG